TTTTTTTTTTTTTTTTTTTTGCGGTACGCGGGCCTCCCACTGTTGCGGCCTCTCTCGCCGCGGAGCACAGGCTCCGGACGCGCAGGCCCAGCGGCCATGGCCCACGGGCCCAGCCGCTCCGCGGCATGCGGGATCCTCCCGGGCCGGGGCACGAACCCGCGTCCCCTGCATCGGCAGGCGGACTCCCAACCACTGCGCCACCAGGGAAGCCCGGCTGGGCTCTTTTACTGCCATTACGGCGCGGGGCGCTCTCTCCTCCTCTGCCGAGAACTCTTCACCACTGTGCTTTTTAAGTTTGCTGTGTCAGTTTGGGTTTTCATCTCCGGTCGGGAACTGAGGTTTCTGCAAAAGAAATAAATGAGTCCTTAGAGTGCACCCTTCTCCAACACCCTCTCCCACTGCCTGCATCCTTCCGACAGTCTTCAAAGGCATCAAGAAGTGAGGGACCCTGATAAGCTCTGAGATAAATTGCTTTCAGACTATCAGAGATTAAAAGAAAAAAAATCAAATAGCAAGGGCTCAGGAGAGATCAGTGTAAACTCCTTCAAAGCCCTTCTGAATGCCTCCATCAGCTCTGATGATGAGGACACTGGGGCAGCCAGGGGTGGCGACAGGCCTCCTCCAGGGTGTGTGCTGCCCGGGACGTCTTTCAAAAGGGCGTGAGAGCACCAGTTCCTGTGTGCAGGTGCCGGGAGTGATGGGGTGACCTGGAAGGTCAAGGGCATAGGAGGTCACTGATGGGAGTACATTGACAAGCCTGGACCCTGTGATGTAGCCTGGGTGGAAGTTGGTGGCATCGGCCACTGCAAAACTGGGCAGAAAGTACGGAGATTTCCCTGTGTACCCGCTATCGCCACACGTGCACAGCCTCCTGCACTCTTGACATCCCATACCTTAGCGCTACCTTTGTTACAGTTGATGAACCTGCGATGACACGTGAGTAACATCCAGAGTCCATAGTTTACATTGGGGTCCACTCTTGGTGCTGCACATTTTGGGGATCTGGACAAATGTTTTCTGATGCATACCCCTCATTATAGTACCCCACAGCGTAGTTTCACTGCCCTGAAAATCCTCCTTGCTCTTCCTGTCCACCCCTCTCTCCCCACTACTCCCTGGCTACCACGGATCCCTTTACTGTCGCCATCATTTTGCTGTTTTCAGAATGTCTTATAGTTGGAATCATATAATATGTAGCCTTTTCAGATTGGCTTTTTTTCTCCTAGTAATATGCATTTAAGTTTCTTTCACATCTTTTCATGGCTTGATAGCTCATTTCTTCTTAGCACTGAATAACAGTCCATTGTTTGGTTGTACCACAATTTGTTCATTCATATACTGAAGGACACCTTGTTTGCTTCTAAGTTTTGGCAGTTATGAATTAAGCTGCTTCATCCGTGTGTAGGTTTTTGTGTGGACATAAGTTTTCAGTTCATTAGGATAGATACCAAGGAGTGCAATTGTTGGGTCATATGGTAAGAGTATTTCAGTTTTGAGAGAAACTGCCAAACTGCCTTCCAAAGTGGCTGCACCATTTTGCATCCCCACCAGCAACGAATGAGAGTTTCCATTGCCCCACATCCTCACTGGCACTTGGTGTTGTCAGTGTTCTAGATTTGGATCATTCTGTAGGTAGGTAATGGTACCTTGTCGTTTGGAGTTGCATTTCTCTGATGACATATGATGTGGAACATCTTTTCATATGCTTACTTGCCATTTGTATATCCACTTTGGTAGGGTGTCTGTTCAGGTCTTTGGCCTATTTCATCAGATGCAACTTTTGAAAATGTTTTCTCTCAGTCTGTGGCTTGTTTTTTCATTCTCTTGACAGTGTCTTTCACGGAGCAGAAATTTTTAATTTTAATGGAGTCTAGTTTATCAATTCTTTTCTTTTTCAAGGGTAATGCCTTCGGGGTTATATCTAAAAAATCATTACCATACTCCAGGTCATCCAGGTTTTCTCCTGTGTGTTCTAGGAATTTTATAGTTTTGTATTTTGCATTTAGATCTGTGATCCGTTATTAGTTAATATTTGTGGAAGGGTGTAAGGTTTTTGTCTAGGTTCATTTTTTTTTTCTTTTGCACGTGCCTGTCCAGTTTCAGCATCATTTGTTGAGATAACTATCTTTTTAAAAAAATTATTTATTTATTTATTTTTGGCTGCATTGGGTCTTCGTTGCTGTGCGTGGGCTTTCTCTAGTTGTGGCGAGCGGGGGCTACTCTTCGTTGTGGTGCGCGGGCTTCTCGTTGCAGCGTCTTCTCTTGTTGCGGAGCACGGGCTCTAGGCACGCGGGCTCAGTAGTTGTGGTGCACGGGCTTCGTTGCTCTGTGGCGTGTGGGATCTTCCCAGACCAGGACTCAAACCCGTGTCCCCTGCGTTGGCAGGTGGATCCTTAACCACTGTGCCGCCAGGGAAACCCGAGATAACTATCTTTGATCCGCTGTGCAGCATTTGCTCGTGTGTCAAAGATCCGTTGACTGTATTTAAGAGAGTCTGTTTCTGGACTCTGTTCTGTTCCATTTGATCTATTTGTCTGTTATTTCACCAGTATCACATACTCTTCATCACTGTAGCTTTATAGTAAGTCGAGAAGTCGAGTAAGGTCAGTCCTCCAGCTTTGTTCTCCTCTGGTATTTTTTGTTGGCTTCTGGGTCTTTTGCCTCTCTCCACATAAACTTTGTAATCAGTTGGTCAGTACCCTCAAAATAACTTGCTGAGGTTTTGATTGAGATTGCATTGAATCTGTAGATCGAATTGGGAAGAACTGACGTCTGACAACAATGAGTCTTCCTATCCTTGAACCTGGGATAGCTCTCCATTTATTTAGTTCTTTGATTCCCTTTATCAGTTTTGAAGTTTTCCTCATATAGATCTTGTACATATTTTGTTAGATTTATACCTAAGCACTGAATTTTGTGTGTGCTAATGTAAATAGTATTGTGTTTTTAATTTCAAATTCCACTTGTTCATTTCTAGTATATAGGAAAGCAATTGACTTTTGTATATTAACCTTGTATCCTATAAGTTGCCATAATCGCTTGTTAGTTCCAGGAATGTTTTTGTCTGTTCTTTTAGAATTTCTGCATAGGTGATTATGTCATCTGCAAACAAAGACAATTTTAATTTCTTCTTTCTCAATCTCTATATATTTTATTTCCTTTTCTTATCTTATTGCATTAGCTAAGACTTCAGTTATGATGTTAAAACGGAGTGCTGGGAGGGGACATCCTTGCTTTGTTTCTAATCTTAGTGGGAAAGTCTCTGGTTTCTCACCATTAAGTATAATGTTAGCTATAGGTTGTTTGTATATACTCTTTATCAAGCTGAGGAGCTTCCCCTCTATTCCTGCTTTACTGAGATTGCTTATCATGAATAGGTATTGGATTTTGCCAGATATTTTTCTGCCTCTATTGATATTATCATGTGATTTTTATTTCTTAGCCTGTTGATGTGATGGATTACACTAATTGATTTTAGAATATTGAATCAACCTTGTACCTGGGATAAATCCCACTTGGTTGTGGTGTATAGTTCTTTTTAAACATTTTGGGTTTTATGTGCTAATATTTTGTTGAGAATATTTGCATCTATGTTCTTGAGAGATACTGGCTTGTAATTTTCTTCTCTTGCGGTGCGTTTGGGTATTTCCTCTCTCCCGTGAAGACATGGCGTTCTCCCTCTTGCAGGTCTCTGTCTACATTTCCTCTTTTAAAAATTTTTTTTTATTTTTCAACATCTTTATTGGAGTATAATTGCTTTACAGTGGTACGTTAGTTTCTGCTGTATAACAAAGTGAATCAGCTATACATATACATATATCCCCATATCCCCTCCTTCTTGCGTCTCCCTCCTACCCTCCCTATCCCACCCCTCTAGGTGGTCACAAAGCACCAAGCTGATCTCCCTGTGCTATGCGGCTGCTTCCCACTAGCTATCTGTTTTACATTTGGTAGTGTATATAAGTCCATGCCACTCAAGGACACTAGTCATATTGGATTAGGGCCTGCAAACTCATCTTAACTAATTACATCTGTAAGGACCATATTTCCAAATAAGGTCACATTCTGAGGTACTGGGGGTTAGGACTTCAACACAGGAATCTGTGGGGGCAGAATTTAGCCCATTACTCACCCTCTGAAGAACTGTCTTGTGCAATGGCATTACTCTGAGAGGAAAGGCAGATGAGCAATGGCCTGATCCTTCACAAAAGCTTCTTCCTGATTGAGAACGTGGCACTGCAGGCAGGTGGGTTGACGAGCCAGCAGGTGCACAGAGCGAGCCCCTTACCTGCAGCCTGGGTGGGACGTGGCCTTGGAGTGGTCGGAGTCTGGGGTGGGCGTCCGTACCCTCGGGTTCCGATGCTGCCTCTTTCTCGCAGACCTGGGGCTCTTTGCCCTTGGTCTTCGTTTCTTAATCTGTAAAAGCGTAATAATGCCTGTCCTTCAAGAGTGGTCACGAGTCTCAATAAGATAACTTATATGAACCCCTCACACACACCATGCCTTGAGCACTGGAGGGCAGAATACTTGTCGGGCTGTGGAGCAGCCCTGGTCTGCGTGCTAGACCTCGAGGCCGAGCCCCGCCCTCCCCTGGCCTGGCCACCTCCACAGGTCCGTTGTCTCTAAGGCCCGTCCCTCCCTCCTGAAATGCAGGTGAGGCCATTGCCCCCCTGCCCTTGAGCTCCCCGGGCTGTGCGGGGCCAGCTGCGGGCTGCATGCCAGGCGCTGGGAAAGGCGCGCTGTGCATCTAGCTGTGACGGTGATGGTGGCGGTGGTGGTATTTTTCCACAGAGCCTGAGTTTTAAACGAGACAGTCCATTGATTATGCTCTCTTTCTGTTAAGGACAAAAGGAGTTATTCTTGTCCTGTGTGTGAAAAGTCTTTTTCAGAAGATCGACTGATAAAGTCACATATCAAGACCAACCATCCCGGTAAGGTTATGCATCTTAGAGTGGGAGACTGATTTTAAAATGCTTATGTTTATTTTAAGACACAGCATTATATATCAACTGTATTAAATGGAAATATAAGAGGGAATAAAGATATGAGTAAATTCAAGGGCAAGAATTAACTTTTTTATAAAGCTCAGGAGTTTATATAATTATGTGCTTCATTTTATCCTTTTATCTGGTCTTCAGATACGTCTGCCCCAGTCTCATGATTCCCCCCACCTTTTCTAAAAAATTTTTCTTAGAGTATAGTTGATTTACAATGTTCTGTTAGTTTCAGGTGTACAGCAAAGTGAGTCATTTATACATATACATATACATATGTCCATTCTTTTTTTTTTTTTTTTTTTTTTTCCCATGTAGGCCATTACAGAGTATTGAGTAGAGTTCCCTGTGCTCCCTTCCCCTTTTAATAGTAACTGTGACTCTGCCTTAGACGGGTCAAGAGTGGGAGACTGATTTTAAAATGCTTATGTTTATTTTAAGACACAGCATTATATATCAACTGTATTAAATGGAAATATAAGAGGGAATAAAGATATGAGTAAATTCAAGGGCAAGAATTAACTTTTTTATAAAGCTCAGGAGTTTATATAATTATGTGCTTCATTTTATCCTTTTATCTGGTCTTCAGATACGTCTGCCCCAGTCTCATGATTCCCCCCACCTTTTCTAAAAAATTTTTCTTAGAGTATAGTTGATTTACAATGTTCTGTTAGTTTCAGGTGTACAGCAAAGTGAGTCATTTATACATATACATATACATATGTCCATTCTTTTTTTTTTTTTAGATTCTTTTCCCATGTAGGCCATTACAGAGTATTGAGTAGAGTTCCCTGTGCTCCCTTCCCCTTTTAATAGTAACTGTGACTCTGCCTTTAGACGGGTCACTTACCCAGTGCAGACCCGACACATATTCTACTTCCTTGGCCCCCTTTGTAGGTTCCTGAACCAAGTGATGGTTTACAAGGGGTGTAGGCTCCCTCCCAGGCTGAGGAACCCAGTGAGTTGGAGTGACCATCACCTTCGGTGTCCTCAAGCCCCAAACTCCCTGGGCATCACATGCCTTGTCACTTTTGTCCTCACCACCTGGGACCCTGCTCCTTGGTTCTGCCCGGTCAATTCCTGGGTATTCTCCACGTCCTCCCTCAGAGCCACGTTGGGGAGCCTTTGGTGGCCCCCCCCTCTCCATGCAGACCGTCACGGTGCACTCACCCCTGTACTCTAGGCACTGGTGTTCTCCCGCTGCCCAAGAGCCTTGAGGCAGGGCCGCCATCCTTAGCGGCTTGTCCCCAGACCCCCGGTGCCACATCGCTCGGGGCCCATGTGTGCAGATGTATGCTGTGTGTGCATAAATGGGGAACAGGGCAGCTAGGTCCGTGTCCCTTTTCTCTTTCTCTTACTTTGTGTCTGCTCCTCCTATTGGGGAACTGACCCACTGATTAAAGATGATACTGGAGAAAAATGAAGAAATAACGGAAGTGTGCTAACCCTCATGTTTCTTCTGGGATCGGGGAGCCTTGTGGCCTTCCCCCACGTGGGGACACGTGGGTTATGTGATTCTCTGACCGCCCAGTTCTGTCCTCCCTGTGTTAACCCACGTCCTGTGTAACCTGTGTCCAGTGTGGGCCAGGGATACCCATTTAACCCCTTCAACTTTTGCTTATTATTTTAAATTTTTTATTGTGTAAAATGTCAAATGTGTACAAGATATGCAGAATAATATGCAGAACACCCAGGTGCCCATAGCTCGGCCTCCACAGTTGTCTGCGTTTGCTCAAGCTGCCGGCAGAAACTGACCCCCACTTCCTTCCCTCAAATATTCTACAGTCTATCCCAGCATGATGTGATTTCCCCATAAAAAAGCTTCAGCCTGCCTCTCCAACTAACAAGGACTTTTAAAAAACAGAGCTAACACATCACCATTAAAACAGTATTAAAAGTAGTTTCTTATTACCAGTTAGTATTAGTCCATTTAAAGTTTCCTCAGTTGACACAGACTTTCCTTTTTACAGTTGGTTTGTTTAAATCGAGTTGTTATGTCACCTAAGTTTCTTGTGTTCTGCAGGACACCCCCAGCCCTGCTTTTTTCCCCATGACATTAATTTGTTGGGGAAACTGGGTCTCTTTTCCTGAGTGGTTTCACATTCTGCCTTTGTCCTACTGTGGCCTCGTGATACTGTTTCTCCATCCCACACATTTTGTGTTAACAGAAATTTAGCTCTGAGACTCGCTTAGATTCTGGTTTGACTTTTTAGGCAAAAGTCCTATCACGTGACGCCACGAGGCACATGGTAACTCGCCGCCTCAGAGCTGCTGGGGTTGAGCGGAGATGCAGGTTCTGTCAGGAGGCTCACTGACGTCTAACTTGAACCTCGGTTCTTTGGCTGCTTCTAGTTCTCATCCTGCTTTTCTTCTAGAGGTTTCCATGAGCACCATTTCCGAGGTTCTCGGGAGGAGGGTGCAGCTGAAAGGGCTAATTGGAAAGAGAGCCATGAAGTGCCCGTATTGTGATTTCTATTTCATGAAGAATGGCTCAGACCTTCAGCGTCATATCTGGGCTCATGAAGGTGAGTATTCCTCCGTCAGAATGGAGCCCCTTTGTGATTTTGTGTTTCCTTCGGGAATTCTTTAGGAGGAAGCTATATCTCCACATCCCCTGTGGTTAGAATTTCTTTAGCGTGCTGAGAAATGTGTCCGTCAGCCAGATTTAAAGCATTACTCAGCGGCAGTTGCGGCGTGCAGCGGTGTGCATTCTTCACGGCTCCAGTTGGAGCTGTAGTTAAGCCAATCACCACAACTCCTGGGCGGAAAGCAAGCTTCAGGAGAGCAGCAACCGCGCTGGCCTGGTCACGGTGGTAACTCTGGTGGCCGCCCCCGGGGCGCTGGTGGTGGTAGGCGGGGGGTCGGGGGGGCAGTTGCTGGTGTCTCGGGTGAAGGAAGGCCAGGAGGACGGCAGAGTCCTCTGGTTCCGGCTGGGGAAGACTGGGTGGAGACGAAGCCGGGCGAGGAGGAAGGTAGGCCATGCCTCGGGGTGCTCGCCTGTGAAGGGAGATGTGGGCCGTGCTCTAGGACGCTGGGCGGTTGGAGGTCAGGGTGCTGTTAGGGACGGCGGGGCTGTGCCTCTGCCCCCGGAAGAGGACGCCACTCTCCTGGTGATGAGGCTGGGAGGCCTGGGGCCAGGGAGGGCCCTTCCTGTGAGTTAGGAACCTGCGGTGGTGCTGGCAGGCAAGCAGGACGGCTCCACAGGGAGAAGGAATAAGTATTTTCTACGATCTGGGATCAAGCGAATGGTTCAGTAGCTGATGGAGTAGGAACCTGGACACGGCAGGAGGAGCTGGGCCGAAGCCGAGGCTAGGAGCTGCGTTTTCATTGACCAGCACGCACGCGCCTCCACTCTGTGCCGCCGGGCACACCCCGCAGCCTCGTTAAAGCCTGAGCCTCCTCGACTGCAAGGTTGCAGGTAGTACAGACAAGGGGTGGCCCTGCTGGGCTCATGGAAACGTGCCTGTCATACCCCGTGTTCAGGTGCAGGCACAGCTCCCCTCCCCCATCAGAGCGTCGCACCAGGTGGTAAGGGCTCTTTGCCGGTCCATTCCCCCTGGACAGGGAAGGCTGGGCCAGGGCGTCGTGCCTTGAAATCAGCCCAAGGTGTTTACTACAGAGTAGGTCCTCGGTACATGTCTGTGGAACGAAGGAGGAGTAGCCAAATGGTAAGACGCCCTTGCAGTCGAGCCGTGAGCCCAACAGCGGCGACTAGCGTTGTAAAGCTCTGCTTATTTTTGTGAAGTAAGATACGCTCTCACATGTGATCCTGCGCGCCTGATCCTGGTGGCTTTTGCCAAGGCCCTTGGTTAATTTCTGTCACTTTAACTCAACTCAGGTGAGTGAACGTCTGCTGCTCCAAATGCTCAAGTCTGTGCCCTCAGAGGTTCCAGACTGTGGGGAGAGGAGGTGTAAGCTACCCACTGTAAAGTGCTGTGAGCAGTGCAGCAGTAGTGACAGGCGGGATTTGGGTGCACTGACGGGGAGGCAAGGAATTCTACTGCAGGCCCAGGAGGAAAGGGCATCCTAGTTGGAAGGTGTGGTACGGGTAGGAGCGTGGCCTGGGGAAGTGTGCAGTGTGTTTAGGGACCAGCATGCACTGCTTTATTCAAAATGGGCAAGGAGACGTGTGTATAGATATGTATACATACATGTTCCTTCTGAAACACACACGTATACATGAATACATGTGTATATCTATTTTTTCTCCTCCGGTAGGTGTGAAGCCCTTCAAATGTTCTTTGTGTGAGTATGCAACTCGTAGCAAGAGTAACCTCAAGGCTCATATGAATCGTCATAGCACTGAGAAGACCCACCTATGTGACATGTGTGGCAAGAAATTCAAGTCAAAAGGGACACTGAAAAGTCACAAGCTCCTTCACACTGCTGACGGTGAGTGAGTGACCCCACAGGGAGCTTTTCCCCCTAAAAGTGTGGTTGGAATCTTATTACATCCCGAGTCCAGCGGAAACCGTGGCTGCACCTCGAGCTGGAAGGAGCCTCTGTCTTTGGAACTTCCGTTGCGAAGGACAGCAGAGTGAGCTCGCCTGCTTCCGTGCTCAGTGCTGGAGCCGTGCTGACCCCACCAGTGCTTGCTAAACACTCACTGTGTGTGTGTGTGTGTGTGTGTGTGTGTGTGTGTGCGCGCGCGCGCGCGTGCACTTGTTGGGGGTGGATGTGGAGGGGACGCTCCTTCAGGGAATAAGGCATCCCCAGGAGGCCTTGATCTGGAAGTTTCAGTCCTGTTCAGCCCTCCATCCCCACCCGAGCCTGACGGTCCTGAGGGGTGGCCGTGACCACACCTGACGTGACGCTTCAAGGGCATGCTCTTTATCATCCAAGCTACCTCAGGGTTCCCGTATTCAGTCCAAAATGAGACTCAGTCTAAAATACAAACAGCATTTGGGCAGGATTGACCTTGATAAAGTACACCTAAGTGGATTTCGGGTTTCATTCATTCACCAAGAACCACTGACCCAGTTCTTCCTGTGTGCCGCCCTCTGCCTGGGGTACAGGGTCAATAAGGAACAGTTCCTGCCTTCAAGAAGTTTCTAGGCTATAGCAGGAGGAAGAGGAGCTTGTGGGCCATGGGGAAGGCGGGCGCTGTGACGCGAGGGGCCGGGAGCTCTGGGGAGGAGGGTGTGCGTCTCAGTGACCGGGAAGGTCGCCTTGAGAGGGACCCGACAGAGAAAGAAAGGCTGAATCACAAAATTATTTTAGGAAGACAGGCAGCCAAACCATAAAAGACCTAATATAACATTTAAAATGTTCCTTTAGACCCCAGTTCTGTGAGGGTCTTGTCAATATCACATGTGATGAGATTAATAAACTATACCAATGAGTTGTTATTTTAGCACAATGATATACAAAAATTGGAGTCCACTATGAAAACTGAAGTGATTTCAACAGAGAGTTTTGATTTCAGAGCGTAGAGGATGATCCAGCCATTAGGTTCTACCTTTATTTTAAGATTGTTCCAGGGGATCTCGCCCTGTGCGCCGTCAGGGAGCTCGAGGGGCTCGGCCTGGGATTCATCAGAATTGAGGACCAGGGCTTGCCTCAGGCTGAACCAAAGCCAGAGCCCTGCTATTCAGACTTAAGCAGTGTGCTGAAAATTAAAAAATCCATAATCAAAGTAATTAAAGATACAGTGACAGCAAAGCAGTCATATCCTGAGTAATGAAAGCATTAAGTCCTGTAATCATTCGTGAATTCTTACACCTCTGCCAGCAATAAGCCTCACTGGTGTTTCTTGACATGGTCACACAGTATTCGCTGAAATCCCTAATGATACAGCGCCAGTTATGAGAAGCGGCCGTCCCCAGAACCAGGGAGGTGTGGCGTGTCCACTGGGCTGTGAGGGCAGGTCTGGAGGGCTGGGAAGGGCACTGTGGCCTCATGCCCGGCTCCGAGGTCTGGGCTTGGTGCCAAAAGGCTTTGAGAAGATGGGGCCCGTGTCTGATCAGGGATCGTGGACAGGCCGTCCTGGGTCGTGCAGGGATGGGGTTGGTGTGAGTAGTGGTGTCACAGCAGGCATCCCAGGGACACTCAGCCTGTCCTGCCTGTCACTTCACTTGCTTCCCTGAGCTCTTCAGCCGGAAGGGGAGCTCAGATGGACAAATATGTGTGTGGAGTCAAAGCAGTAACACGACCTTCCCAAATGACTTTATGAAATATTTTCTTAACAAAGCAGGAAGTTTGCACTGTTACTCTTCCTTTTCTTTCCTGACATTCTTGGGAGGATGAGGTATTTGTAAAGTCATGTCTTATTTTCAAACGCTCGCCAGTCTGGGAAGAAGGGCATCAGTTCTTGGGTGTGACCCCCAGGAGGACAGTGGGACAGGGGCATCCTCGTGGGCCAGCTTCTTCCCTACTTGGGCCTTGGTCTTGTTATGCTGCAGAAGAAGGACGTGAGACCTTAACGTTTCTTGGGTCTCTTTAGCCTTGATGCTCTGTGATTCTAGGAGGCAAGTGTAATGGAGTGCTTCAGATGTGGAAATGTGCGGTGCAATGTCATTTTCTCTGGTCTAACTTTGGGGTGACCCCTTCTTCCCCAGGCCTGCTGGGACTCCTTTGTGTGTCTGTTTTGACACTTGCTGTGGTGTCATGCCTTCTCAAAGGCCAGCCTGGTGAGTGGAGTCCTGGGTTGTAGACCAGCTGTTCATCTCCATTGGTGATCTGTTCTGTAACTGTAGGCTATTCTCTTCCTTTTCAGTTTTAAAAAAGCTTTAAAAAACTTTAGTTACATCTCTCACCCATTTTTTGGTAGTGCTCACATTTTATTTTGCTGACTTCTGAAAGCTTTTTGTACCTCAGTGGTTTGTCATAGTGTGCAAATATTTCCCTCCAGCTTACCATTTGCTGCTATGTTTTCAGTGTATCTTTTTATATATAGGTGCGAAATAACTTAGCATATTTAAATTGGTCAGTCTCTTCCTTTATGTTTTTTCCCATTTCTATTTATTTCTCTATGTTAAAAGAAACCTTCCCCATCTTAGGGGAAAATTCTTTTGTGTTTTCTTCAAGTTTTATTTTGTGGGTTTGTAACGTGTATGAAATTTAATATTCTTGACATTTATTCTGGTGCAAGGTCTGTCGTAGGATTCTTTGTTTTTCAACAGTTATCAGCTGACTCAGTATATTTATTGAGAAATCAGTCCTTTCCATTTTGTTTTGAAATGCCAGAATTTCTCAAGATGTTGGGTGTATTCTGGGATTTTGGTTTGTTTTGATGATCTTTGCTCTAGTACATTGTTTTGCAAGATACTCTTCTAAAAATTATAAATATTATGCATACACATATTATTCCTTCTTCTTCTTCTTTTTTTTTTTTTGTGGACATCTAGTTTTTCTCATTTAATTATTACTTCTTTGGGTAAACTGGATGGCTTTCATGAGCTCTTTGACAACAGCTGAAACATGCTTTGAATTCCTCGGGGAAATGTGCTCATACTAGGGGCCTGGCTACCTTGATGAGGCTCCCAGCCTGTAACCATAGAGTTAGCTCTTTATTTAGAAGCAGGCATGGCTTTAAAGCCTGCCTGAAATTATTTGGTTTTCT